ATTTACTGTGTCAGTCAAGCTTTAAAAGCTTCATGAGATTTTAATTGAGCGGTGTTCCTCTTTTACCCCAGAATCCCTCCAACCCAGAAGATTACAATGCACAGGAGACGCTGCCCACTGTGATTTCTATGGATTACATGCGTATTGAATGGTTGCATTAGTGGCTTTATTTTTATAGCAATTAACCGTGTTTAGCTTTTGCTTACCTTATCTCCACTTAAAATTGCTCATGACCGCTCAAACTGACCGGCAACGAGGAATATATCTCTAACACACGGACGAAAGGCAGCAGACTTTATTCTGTGTGCTGTGTGAGGCGAACATCATACCCAGCAGTCCCATATATAATTGTTCTCTGCGGCCTCACCCTCTCCATTTTTGACATTAATTAATCTGAGGCAATCTTCTAACTGCCCATGGGGCCAAGACCTCACACCTCCAAACTCTCAATTCCCATGATTGAATTTCACAGAGTTCAGCATTTCAGCCCTTAACTTTGCCACCTTACTAATGGTGATAGTGGGGAGAAAAAAAGACACTCGAAGAGGAAAACTTTAACCATCAGCCATACTCCTTTTGTTATCCATCATGGGCTATGGAGGGGAGGACAAAGACAAATACAGCCAGAAGAATCTCGGCAGAGAGCCTGAAAGATGACCCCCTGGACTCTGGTGCTGCAATTCATTATCTCACTCAGTCCATTCACTGGCTACCTGAATCAGACCTTCAAACATCATTTTGAAAGATTGGATCTTGAATAGGAGAACTAAACTAAAATTTCATGATGATATAAGTGAATAAAATAGAAGCGTTTAAAGTTCAGTGAGTGGGTGTGCCGTTAGGCTGTTGTTAACATGGTCTCATTTTTGTGGAAGTAAAAAAAAAATCTGTATGATCACATTACTGACCGAAAGTCAATTCCATCCATCCAAATGTGATGCTGTATTTGGATGGATAGAGTGTTCAAATCAAATTCACATTTCCCAGACTGAGCACCATATCAACTGCTGTTCTCAATATTAAGCAAAGTGAAGAGCAGCATTTATTGTACATGAGCATTTTAAGGGGACATTAAGCATCAAAATGTTGACGTTTAGGATGTGTGGGTAATTAAGTAAAGAGTGGATGCTTTAGAATGGGATTATAGCGTATACCGTGCTGTGTTTGGATCAGATTTTTAAAGGCACTGAACTCAGTGAACAACTATCATACATAGCCAGATTGTTGGCCTTGTATCAAGGCTGTGCTTAGACATCAGCTATTCACTGATAGGCTAATTTTGCAAAGTGAAAGAATCTGAAATCTGAATGCTCGGTCCACATGTGTGCTGAGCTACTGCACACAGATGTTTCCCAGAAAGGGCTGCTTGAAAGTAGATTGCAGAGCACCTTCAAACTACAGATAGCTATTCCAAAATAATGAAAAAGAATTGATCCCGTAATTATTTTGAGATGAGAGGCATGCTTACTGATAGATTCATTTCACATCTACAGAGAAATGAAAGGGGAATGGGGAACAGGGAGAGCAGTATCTCAGATCTTTAGAACATAAGTTTGCGCTGACCTGAAACTCTCGCCGCGGAAACGTTTCGCTGATGCCGACACCTTTCTCTCCCATGTCACATGCACACTTCGTCCGACAGTTACGGCATCATTGTCCAACTCTTCCTCCCGTAGAGCGTGACGGGGGGGAAGTAGACTGTTGAGTCCTGGCATTACAAGGCCCCCGAACACTGCTGCTGGAGGGCACTGAAAGGCTGACTAAACCTGAGAAATTGCAGTTTTTGCCCCGCTGCAGCGTTGGATGGCTCATTGAGCCTGCAGGTAAGGAGCTAAGGGTGAGCAATGACTGCAGACTTTCACAGCTGACCTGCTCTTCCCTCTTACCCTTGCTATCTTTTCGTTGTCATGCCTCTCTCCGCTCTTCTGAGTCCTGGCACTCGCTCTCCCGTGGAGAGGGCCAAGACACCTGCCTCTTGTTTGTATTTAACTCGCCTCTACTCTCTCCTCAAATGGTCAGATATGGTCAGGATGGCCGGGATTTGGATGGGACATCATGCACGTGTGCAAGTGTATTCAAACCTCTACAAGTGAGATTATACACTTTAAGTTTCAGTGAGAGTGTTTACTTTGCCTGCTCTTGTGTCCGCCTGGTTGTCCGGCTGTGTTTGCAAATGCAGAGATGACCTGGGACTTGATATGGCAGAGATACAGCATGACAGATGGCCTGTTTGACAGAGGGAATATGGGGTCTTGGCTTCCGTCAACTAAGGTTTGGCACCCAAGCTCTAAGCTTGGCCTGCTGTCAGCATCTTTTTTTCCCCTTTGTTCATTGTTTACAGACACTCATTCACATAATCCATTACAAATGTACGAGCTCACATGAAGTAAACATTAAAGCACGTAGCAAATGCTAACGAATATGATGCGATTCTTGCTATTTTCCATTATACAAATACAAATGATTGGTTTTATTGTTGATCTGAAAGCATCATCTACTCACTATAATTAGTCAGTAATGTTTTTCACATATCGAAAGCATGCTGCTTCACCATCCTTGGTTGTAAAATGTTGGAAGACAATGGTTCCCTTGATGGCTTTTTTATGTTAGACAGTTCCCATTACGACATGGGAGCGACAACCCATAAAAAGTCGAATGTGTCAGTCACAGGTGGGAAGAATTCTGTAGCTGAAGATTTCTATTGGTGTATTTTGGTAACATGTACACTTAATTGCCGATAATGTCTTGGTTGAACTATTTTCTTTTAATTCCGACCAGTAACTATTAATGTGTGACTGCACAGTGCAGTAGAAAGGAAATTAAGCTCCAGGGAGAGGGAAGTGGAAAAGGTCAATGAGTGGAGAACACTGCCTAGAAAAGTATTCGGCTACATATCTGTTGCTTTAAGGTCCGTGGATTAACAAATTCTATCATCCTTACTTTCCTTTGTGTGAGCTTTTGTGGCCAAATGAGCCCGAACAAGCGGATATCATCAGAAAAACTGAGTAAATTATGACTGCATAAGGTCAAAAACATGATTTTGAATGGAAATGTGATCAATTTTAGCCTTTCTGTCATTTTAGGTTCATGGTCGTCTTTTTTTTTTTAATCCAAAGAAACCATGAGTAAATGAAACCCATCTGATTGTTGCATGAGTTAGTGTCTCATAAAAAATGTTGTGGTAGTGTGACAACCTCTGCAAGTTAGCCAAACATCACAACAGGAAGCAGCAAACAAGAGCGAAGACCAGAATACCAGTGTGGCTTTGGCTTCTCCTGTCTCAGGTTCGTCTATCATGGATTCATGTACTTACAATCACTCCACTCCCAGTCTGATGGCTCATTTGTAGACAGTGCAATGTTTTTCAATGATGAAATTAAAATCTGTGAACCATATGAGGCTGAGGCAACTGAGACTTGCCTCAGAAGTTCAGCCGCGAAACATTCATGCAGAAGAGAAATTTCTGCTGTAAAAAGAAAAGGTCACAGCACTTAGAACGGATGAAACTCTTTTTTAGGTTGTTGATTTTATCGCGCAAAGTCGGTTGATTGTCTCAGCAATCAGCTCCCCTCCTCCTTATAGTTTTCAGCATTGCATTTGTCGAGTGCTATCACTGCCTTCGGCCTAATGGATCATCTTCCAGCCACCTCTGATATGCATCAGATCTGCTCCCCTCTGCATCTCATGGCACCACCAGAGGAAAGGAAAAGGTTACCCACGCAATTCCCAGAGCTGTACAGAGGCCACTTGAAATGTAAATCTCAGCTTTACTTCCCCCGTGTGGGCAGCAACATTTTTATGAAAATTACCTGATTTGAATTTAGATACGGGTACACGGGAGCAGAGGCATTGGCAGGGGCATGTTCCTGTTTAACGTAGAAGCATATTAAAAAGCTGTTGTGGACTCGGGGATGCGTCTGTCAAAAAGATGGACACGTGCCGTCTGTCGCAGGCCTACAGCTCTTTGGGTGTGCACAGCTCGACTCTGAAGCGTTCATTTCAGAGCATTCGTTCACCAGGGAATTAGTGGGTAACTAAACAGAGAATGTCACTAGTAGAATCACCCCCCCCCACACACACACAATCCAAAAAAAAGGGGGAGAAAAAAACGCATACTGCAGAAAACGTCCAGCAGAATACTGAACAGCTGGATTCGTGCAGATGGCTGCAGATGTACATGAAAGGCTTTAGAGTCCACCTTTGAAAAGCATAACTTTTCTTTGTAAGAACCTGTAAGAAAAATGTAATGAAAAATAACCATAATGTCTTTCTTTAAAGAGAATATGTTTAAAAAAAAAACTATTTTCAGATCCCCTCTCTTATTTTTGACCATGTCTGAGCTGATATTGACCTCTGACCCCGCTGGCAGACACAATCTGGGGGTGTATTTTAACCACTGGGATCAAGAGAGCACTGTTTATGTAAAAATGTCACAATAGGTGATCCCACCACTTGTGGCCCGTGCGTTTTTATGGGGGTTCCTCTCCAGCTTGCAGGACAGCTGTCCGCCGCTTGCCACGTCTCTGACCGCCGCCGGAGTGGACAAGCGCAAAGTGGGGGCGCAGTCCTCAGCCCACAAAAAGCCCTGCTCCCCGAGCTGCGCAGCTGAGACTGAAGGCAGTCTGCCGGACGCATTTTCCTCCTCCGCTCCTCTGGCTGCGTGGGTTCCTTCTGATTTTTTTTTACATTTTTTCTTTTTTTTGGGCACAATCACTGACCATTACAAGCTACGGGAAAGTTGAGCGCCTTTAACGCGCAGTTTTTTTTCGCAGCGCGACACAGATCTGAGCCACGGCGTGTGTGGCGCAGCGCGGCGGAGCGGGGTGTCCGGTTACAAGCCGTGCGCCGCGGAGCCACCGGCACGGAGCGCTTTCCCCCCGCGGGGCAGAAATAGCGCAAGGGGGGGGGGCGGCTCCGCAGGGACGAGGGCAGAGCGCAGAGGAAATCTGCGCAAGAGACAGAAGGAGTTTTAGCGGAGCTCCGTGCTTTCCGCGTCACGGCTGAAGTGGGGATATTTCATCTTCTGGATCATCTTCCCTCCGTCCCCTCGCCACTCTTCCAAGCAGGACGACGCACGCCGCTTTTTCTCCCTGCTAGATGAGCGGGAGTTGGGCACCTCACTTGGTAAGAAAGCAACGCATTTTGTCAAACGGCTGCAGGCTTGTCTGTTTTGTCTTTTATGATATTCAGATTTGTGACATACGTCTGCAGAAAATTCTTCTCAGTGTGCGCTTTTTTTCTTGGTTTTCTCTTTGTCACTAACGGATAGGCTATTTTAATTTTTTCCAACACCGATCTGTGCCTTTCTATTTGACTTAAGGTTAAAATAATGTTTCAGAATGGTAGTTTTAGGCATTGAACAGTAAAGGCACACCAGTTCAGAGACAGTCACACAGATCAGCAGTTGGAGAAGTTTTCTTGCTGTTCTGTGTGCCCTGCGCGCGCTCTGACCACTTGGTGGTGCTGACAGAGTGTAGCCATTACCACACAGCCAAAATCAATCCTCAAATCCTCACATTAACAAATTTGCAGCTGCGTTAGGCTGTTGCATCCTCCTAATAAAATCTTAATGCGGCTGATTAGGTGCTGGTGTCACATTCAACAAACTTCAGTTGCTCACAATTTCTTGCAGTCAGCACCCCACGTGCACATATGGTTTGGCAGAGGCTTGGAAAATGTACTGAATATTTCATCTACTTAACAGCTGTCATGCAAGTTTGGAAATTTTCACTCTTAGAAAAAATATAAGCACACACATTATGTCTTTTATTTATTCATTTTCTCTGATCAAATCTCCCTGCAATTAAAACAACCTTTAAGCTATCAAACGCTTAACCTTTAAGCTTTCAGTCATCTGACCCCCATATTATGATTTGATAGAATACATTTTTCAATTTAATTTTCACTGGTAAAGTTATGGCACAGCTCTGAATGCTCAAAGGTCAGGAGCAGTATTTACATTCTGTGTGGGAACCTGACTGTGTGCTGCTCAAAGCGCCTCTTTTTCCTTTATTTGCAGTCAGATTATTCAACACCATACCAGAAGAAATTCAGACTCCGCACTTAATTGAACAGAAAAGAGCTGTCATTGATGGTTTTACGCGCTGCTTTATTAAGCCATAAACGAATTTTGTTAGTCGCAGAATCGTTTTTTTTCCTCAGCGTTTCTTAGACTGCAAATCCCACTTGAAGCAACCAATATGTTTAGACAAAAGCTTAACTGGCTCAGAGCTGAATGTTCTGTTTGTGAGTGGAACACATTATCCACAGAATGATGAATTTGCTGCGGAAATCCAAACGGTGCCTTCAGGAGATAATGTTAAAATCTGTTGAAATCTTATTCCAAATGTCCCAGTAGCGGGCTTCATTAGCCAACCTTGTTCATCCTCATTAGGTGCGATGATGTGGACATGATTATCAAATAAGTAATCTTTTTACCTTTTTTCAGTCTCTAGGCCTTAACCTTGTCAGAAAATTAGCAGATTTATCATTTTTCTTTACACTGATATTGTATCCAAAGCGGAGTGGCCTAAACTTACTATTTTCCATTCCATTAGTATTCAGGGGGTCTGTGTTTTTTTTTTTTATCACAGTTGCATCTCTGATATACACACTTAGTTTGGTCTGATCTGAAGACCCCAACCCCATAAGGATGCTGCGGCTGGTCCATCCAGTCATGCTGTGTTTTCCAGTTGAAATAAGTGACCCCCATCCAGATGGCAGAATAACTTCATACTCACAGTGTCAAGGCCTTTATTGGACGTTGGATGGTGAAACCCCGCAGGCAAAGAGAAGAGACAGAGAGGAGAGTGTGAGCGTGAGGTCATGAAAGTGTTGAGTCAAGAAATAATGTGATATGATGCCTTTTGGCGAAAGGTTTCGGTTTATTTCACCGTTGTGCTACTTGGGAAGCGCTGCACGAAGAAACAACAATAGAGTTACAGTAGTTAGTTACAGAAACAGCCCAGTTCTCCAATGTTGGTGATATGGGTTTTTCTTCGACTTTTTAAAATTTGATATCCTTTAGGTTACCAGTTAGATGGAAAAAGAAATATGAAACAAACTTTTCAAACTGAAAAATAATGCCCTGTGTCTTGAGACATCCCCCATTTCTCCTCATATATTAAAGTCAGCCCTTCTTGTAGTCTAATAATGTGGTCTTGAGCCATAGTTATAAAGGCTGACTGCACGCGTTTTAACTTCTTCTTTTTTTTTACTTTGACTGCTTTTCCGCTAAGCTCCTATCAGCTTGGTGAGCAGTGTTGCTTAGAAATATTGGGGGTGCTGAACAGGTGGTAAAAAAAGAAGTAAGAGGCCTTGAACAAAAGCCATCTTCAGCAGTTGGGCAGAATTTGAGATTGATTTTCTTTAGACATTTGTGAGAATAAACGGCAGACATGGCACAAAACCTAAAAGACTTATGAATCAACGGAGGGATGAATCAACACCATTGAAGCAGTGTGGGATCATCTTGACAGAGAATGGAACAAAAGCGGCCAACATTCAAAGAAGAGCTTTGTGATGCCTTTTTTTATACACTTAAGAAATTATAAAAGCCTATCTGACGGGTGTCCGCTGGTTTGAAAAATAATGGCACTCATGAGAAATACTGACTTTCAAGCTCATTAGATTTATTCAAGCTTTGTATTTCCTTTCCATTCTGTATTTTTGTTATTTCTCTCACATTTTACTGTGAACGGTTGCACTTTTACTTACAAGATATTAAAAAATAGGGCGCTGCTCGACAGTTTTGCCCAGTAATGTAAGAGGAGTTAGCAAAAGAATTAGTCTGCATATTAATTCTTAAATCATAAATGTTTGTAAGCACCATAGAACAGAAACACTTACCTTCCTGCTCTGAAGTAGAAATGAGTACCAGATAGTGCTGAGGCCATTGAAAGTTAACCAGTCGGTCACTCTAATGCTTAGTGAAGAGCAGCATTTGATTAGCATCACTGATATTTGCACTGTGATGGAAATTTGCCCGCGCACTGACACCCGCTCAAACACGGCAATTAGCCCCAGCCCGGAGAACTCTGTGATGAAAATGACCCTGGCGGCCTTTGCGGAGTTGTGTGGTCGCCATAGAAACTGATTGAATGACAAGCCCATTGTTGTTGACCTTTGTGATTCGGCATCCCCTTGAGGGGGTGGGTGAGTCCTGCTGAAAGTGAAAGTAAAAGGCATAATCATGCACGCTTAAACTAAACAGTCATTACCCTCTGGCCCCTCGGTGCTCTTTTAGAAGCGTAGGTTACTCATTTATCTGGCACCAGCAAGATGGGGCTTTGGGATTGTTTGTGTCTGGGCGCACTGCCTCACAAAAGACCCGGTCTTATTGGCTGAGAACCGCACCGGGGAACAGATTTTACAGATTTTATTGGCTGATTTATTACTCTTATTCAAGCAGACCTGCGGACATCAAACAATAGCCGAGGTGGTTTACTGTTCTTCCCTGCTGTGCCTTGTCCTCTCAGTGCCACCGGATATTTATACATCACAGCCACTTCACCATTATCTCATCCCCGCTGTGTTCTTCCTGCCACTTCTGATTTAAGGTCTATAGTAGATCTGTAGAAAAACGTCGCGTCAGAAGACGCCGATTCAAAGTATTTGTGTTTATGTTTGGCGCTCCCTTGAGAGTTTGTGAAGAACTGTGCGAGTTTAAGCACAATCACACTTGTTTCTGAACCACACCGACATGTTACAAAAAGTTGCCAAGGTGTCAGTACACATGTTTTGTTTTCTCTTTCCATTTCTGCTATTGTCAGTCCTTAAGGGAGATGGTATGATGTTACTATGGCAACTCCAAGGTTTCCCACAGTGGAATTGAAAGCCCACCCTTCAGAGAGAAAGTAAAAGTTCATCATCTGCGACACTTCCATTCTTAATGGCAAAGTTTCACAACAGATTTCGAAGAGTTGGTGAAGAGGCTATCGAGTGGGACACTTAATATAGCCCCATTTCTCATTTTCTTTATCTGCTCTTAATCCTCACCAAACTCTAAATGGCATTCCACTGCTGTCATAAACATAAATGTCCCCGTCTAGGCCGGCTTTAAAGTCACGTTTTGACACTCTTGACACAACAGATTTGTAACTCGCTGTCGCCACTGCAAGTTATGCTATATTAGGATGTGTCACCGTCATATTAACGTCAGCACAAACAGATCCGAAATTAGGGAAGACGAGAAGAGCTGGAAGAGAGGCGATAAAAAGTAGAGGTGCGTGTGTACAATCGGAGAAAAGACACACATGCAGCAGTCCTCTGATGGGACGCATCCTTGTAAAACAGGCGGAGGAAGGCGAGGTAATTTCACACTGCATGTTAAACAGCAGAAACAGCACAGGAGCAGGTGTAGGAAATAATTTGACTTCAGAGGGAGGCAGGGAAGCACGGGGAGACGGCACGCAAGCCCGGTCGCGCTATTAATTCTGCTGCTTGCATCCAAGAATGGCTGTCTGTGGTTTGAGCGAAACATCCAGTTTCATGTCCACACGTCAGAGGGAATTAGCTCCACTAAGCCAGCCGTCACTCGCCAGCACTGTCTCACTACATTAGCTCTGTCCCTCTCCCCCTTACAACCTCAAACCCCACTCAAATAGCGGAGGAATCTGTCTTTTAACCATGACACCAACCCAGGAGGAAGAGGAAGACTCTATTTGGGTCACTATTAAATAATCCCCAAAGCCTCTTTTTAAACAGGGATCAAGCCGAGAGGATGTTTTAAACGGCTAATACGGAGAAGGATCGCCAACTTGATTGTAAACTTTTTTTTTTCTTCTCAGTTTTGGAGTTTTTTTTTTTATGACGCTGGAGAAAGTGAGACAGGAAGGGAGGATGGAAGTGGTGAAGTGATTTGACGGGGTGTAATGAGTCGAGGGAAAAGAAGTGAAAAGAGGATTTTAAAACAGAGAGAAGAAAAAGAGCAAAAAGGTATTGCTGCTCTTTGTTTATCGACTGATTGAGTGCCATGGGGCCATTTGAAGGGTGAAATGAGTCATGACTTGTCACCAAGCACACATGCAGACACATGGAGAGAGACACACACTTTTTCTCCCCCCTCTGTGGGCCGTCACCCAGCTGTATTTCTCAGAAAGATGAATGGCTTTGAAGCGTGAATG